AATAATATTTAAAGAGGAGATATTTTTAATTTTTAAGTTTCGTAAGTACTGTCATGTTTACCCCCAGTTTCTAAATTTTGTTTGTTATATGGTAAATTTACTTGGACTAAAAATGTAAATCTGTTAATAGAATGCATTGCTCTGACTAGAGGAACTGTTATGCAGCTAACATTTCTCTTCTATTTCTTTGTCATTGCTAAGATTTTTTGTTGTTGTTCTCTCAAATGCTGAGGTTTTTTTTTAGCTGTCTTTCTTTTGTTACAGTTGGTACCAAAAGCCCCAAAGTACAGCTCTGTGACTTGAAGTCTGGATCCTGCTCTCACATTCTGCAGGGTACTTTTTAGTCTGAAACATAAATGTTAAACAATAACTACTTTGAGTAAAACAAGTCTTGTAAAGAAACAGTGTGTACAATGTATTCTTTGTAAGTAACATGACCGAATTATTTATTGCCAGTTGTGAAAGTTACACAGTGGCAAAAGGTTCTTCTGGGTGTTAGTCTAGTGCTAATGAATTGGAGAATACAAATACTAATTAATGAACAGTTATTACACATGTTTGGGCATTTTCATCACCTAACCAATAGTGATAACTATTTATTAGATGTTGAAGTGTAGGCATGGGTTTTGTGTTCATGGAAATTCAATATGGGGTGCTGCTTTCTTTCAAAAAAAAAAAAAAAAAACCCAAAAAAAACCAACCCCAAAAAACCACACAAAAAACAACAACAAAAAAAACCCCTAAACCAACACCAAAACCAAAAAACCCTATTTTTAACAAAATATCCTGTGTGGGTGCTTGCATGGATTTGTTTAGAAGTTTCTGTAAAACAGGCAAGATACTATTTGCTGTAGCAAGGTTGTAATCTGATCCTTTCCATTTACCTTATTCAATAAATGTAGGTGTTTATTGTTGTGTAATCCATTACTTTTTGCACTTAATGAGAATTTGCCCTTAATGTCTCTTTTCTAATGTTTACTTTTTGGAATATGAGTGTATATATATATATACACACCGAAGTGAAGGTAATTACATAGTAAATCTTCATGCTTCAAATCAGCAGGGCAAGAGCCAGATCTAATCTAGAAACTGTAAACAAGTGTTAGTTCAGACACAGCAATGTGCAAATGCAGCTCTATTTCTTCACTGGCCAGCTCAAGTCTAAAAACAGCCTAGGTGCTTCCATGTGATGCAGAGCTTAACCCAGTAAGTCCTTCTGAACTGAATCAGCCACAATGGGCGTCTCAAAATTCTGTTTCTAGAACTGAGAGTACCAGAGGGTGCAGACACAAAAATAGTTCTTGAGACAATCAGTGTGGTTTCAGCAAGGCTTCTTAGTTTTGGCACAAGAGTTACTGCTTTCCAGGCACAAGCTGGTTGTGTCTTTGTACACAGCCTGGTACAGTTAGCTCAAGTGCAATATCAGAGGCACAAGTGGAAGCAGATTATGTCCTCCACTAAACATAATCTAAACATAATCTAATCACTCTTTACAGAACTTGAAGCACTCAATAGTGTCTTGAAAATAGGTATGAATATTTTTCACACAGGCTAACTCTAGCAGCTGAAATGAAGCTAATGCTTGGCTGTAGCTTACTTAATGGATCCAAATAAATGCGTGTGCCCTGAGCCTTCCAAGTATATCCCATAGTACCTGTATTATGGAGATTTTTTCTATCATCATGGGCATCACAGCCCTTTGATTACTTCAGGTAACGGAAAACCAACTACTAGAAGATGTACCAGAAACAAGGTGGTTCACATAGCTCTAAACTGCATTAGCAAAAATATATTTATATAATTTAGTTTATTTTTCAGCAATGTGTTTCTATTATTACATGAAGTGTGGTTGTAATCTTTCCATTTAGGACACCTTACACTTCCTATTGTCTGTATTTGTCAAACATTTTAAAAACTTTCCAAACTTTAAAGTGTGTGCGAGTATATATATGTATTGCTCGCCACTAAGTTACACTGGGTATGACATGGCTAAGAAGACGTTTATCTTAATATCTTAATATTTCAGACCTAATTGGGGGAAAAAATACCCCAAATTCAGGACAAGAGTATTTGAGGATAAGCTGAATAAAGTTTTAATCTTAAGTGCATAAGGTAAATACACTTTTTATTAAACATTTTGAAAGGATTTGAAGAAAAACAAATGGAAAGTTCCTTCTGTGTGTGAGAACACCAGTGCTAACACAAAATGTAATAACAGTACTTGAAGTAAACTCAGTTGCTGTGACTATGCTATAATGTGTTTTGCATAGGTAAAACCATCTTTGTTGTCAGAAGTCATACACATGTAATAATCCATGTATCACTTTCAGTTCACTACAATCCCACTCAAGCAAGAGGAAGAAAGAGAAATAACCTCTAGCCCAAAATAATATATTTTCACAAAATTCAAATTCATATTGCAATTTAGATTATTGTTCTGGATTGGTGGATCCTATGGAACTAAGTATTTGCTTTTACTCATTTACATAAAATAGTGTGTGTAAATATTGTCCTAGAAAATCATATAAACTTTTTCATATAATTTTAGGTCACAGGCAAGAAGTATTGGCAGTGTCTTGGTCCCCACGTCACGAATTTGTTTTGGCAACAGCAAGGTAGAGATCTTGCTGGACTGTTATATGCACTAAAAATGTCTGATAAATTTAATATATTCATTATGCATGTTTTCTACAATTCAAATACTCTTTTAATCTTCATCGCTTACTTTAACCTCTTTCCAGTTTTGTAGAACTTGCGTAGAAGAACTAAGCCTGAAAAGCTCTCCAAATGATGCTTATTTTATAGGAAGATTGTACAGACTTTTGAAATAGTAATTGCTTTTAAAAGTATAGGAAAATGATAGGGCATTGCAGAGATACTTACTTCTTACTGTTTATTGGTGTGCACATTGCTAATCTGTTTTATAATGAAGTAAAACATGTTTTACCATCCTGGTTAATCATGCTCAATTATGTCAAAGAGCGTAATGCAGGTAGCTTAGCTGATGGGTAATAACTTTCCAAGCTGCGGTAAGTCAGAGAGTGGAGATTGTATGTTGATATTCCCAGGCCTTTTTTTTTTTTTTTTCCCCCTCATTCCAGCCATTTTCAGTCTAAAAGATCCTATTGGCTTTCTTATAACTTCTGCATATGTTAGCTTTTGATTGTAATGTGACATTTCTCTTCTCAGTTTCATGGTTGGCGTGTTTTTTCTTTTGAATTGCAGAGAGGAATGTCTGTTTTGTAAGTTGAGAGTGAAACTTGAATAAGTCGATATCAGAATTGCATACCCATGGCTTCTGATGCTAAGGTTCTGAAAAGCTCAATGTAGTTGGGAAATTTTCTAACAATGTGATTTGTTTCTTTGTTTTAGCAAATGAAAAATTGTTTACTTGTTTTCCATCACAGAAATAGTAGCAAATTTTGTTTATTAAATATTGACTTACTGATGTCTCCTGAAACATTTTCTTTCAAAGTCATATAACTATAAACTGCATCTATGTTGTCATGTTGCCTTATGGTAATTGCATGTGAAACATGCTTCTTATGGGTCCATTACTTAATTCAGTGCTATAGTTGGACTGCTAGTTCCTAATAACATAACTCAGTTTTGCCATCTGCTAAGGCAAATATGGGCAAGACTGGCAACACTGAGATAATGAAGAAGGAGTGAGGAGAAACTGACTGATACTGCTAAAAAGAGACTCTGGACTAATCTTGCGTAACAGGAGATGTGACTGTTTTCCAAGACAATTGTATGTTTGCTTGTGATCACTTCAGGGGAGTGAAAATGTATTTTCAGGTTTTCTGTGGCTCGCATGTGTTTGTTTTTTCAAATTTCTGTATATGATGCTTGGCTCTTCCATAGTTTTGGCAGGAGATTGGAACAGTTAGAGAAGAGATGTTTTCTGGGTGTCTTTTCACACATTTTAATTTCAGGTACTAGAGACAATTATAAGCTCTTTCTTGCTCATTAGAACTGGCTAAAAAAAGATTAGCTAATCGAAACTGCATCATCAAAAATGGAGAACTGTAGACTTTTATAATAAGGAAGATCTTTCTGTGCCTTTGTTAAGAATACTTCAATGAGCTACCCATGGTTTGTTGCTCACTTTACAGTCAGCTCAAACCTCAGTGATATCTCTATTTATGGTCTCAGAATATTTGTTTGCAGCGAAGTAATGTGTTGTCAGCATATTCAGTTGGAATACCACTTGGAAGTTAACAGAATCAATCTGTAGTGGAGAGGAGCACAAAAGAACAAATTAGCTTTGTCAGATGCAGAACAGATAAGGAATAATAGTTGGATTTGCTTTGGTCAGTTGGTATATGTATATATACACTATATGTTCCTGATATTAATGCACTGACCTAACTTGAGAACACACAGGAAAAAGCATGTAGTACTTCAGTTAGAAGACTGCTTATCTAAGAAGTAGTTTGATTTGGTATATTTTCCAGCTGTAGATCAAAGAGATGCAGTTGGTTCTTTTTAGCTGGGGTGAAAAGGGATTTATGGGTTTTTTTCTTTTTTTTCTCCAAAAGGACAGTTAAGTTCCTAGGAACTGTCCAAATAGTTTCAGTAAACACATCTACACTGGTGACTTAATGCATGGGAAGCAGTCTTTTCTATGAATTTACCTCCTGTTTATTACCTGAGAGTCATGTGGTGCACACAGAAATGTACTACTAGAATGCTCAATTCAAGCTGCACATCAAGGTGCCATACAAGGTGCACTGCCTGCAGTGTTGCTGTCTAAGCACGTACCTAGTACCAACAGTTATCATAGCTTTTTTTGCTGGCAAAGACAGAGTGTGAGCAAAGCATGAGCATGCAGCCTGGCAACCAGAATGAATCACTGCAGCCTGAACCTTGGCCTTTCCCTCCTTGTGCCACCCTGGTAATGTAGACAAAGCCAGTGAGTTCCTGCAGAAGCAAGCTCTCGGTGTTTCTCGCCATAGCACCATTGACAACAGAGCATATAGACCTATCCAGCCTATGTGTATGTAGCCAGCTTATGTACCAGCCATACTGTAGATCTGTGATAACAAGAGCCTGAGTTCCCAGACAACTATTATAGACAATGCTGGGTTGGCTAAAGACAGTTATTGAACCAGGGTGCTCACAATTTCCCTAATGTATGCAAATCTGTTTTTCTTAGTGCTGACAGTAGAGTAAAATTATGGGATGTGAGGAGAGCATCTGGATGTCTGACTACACTTGATCAGCACAATGGGGAAAAGTCCAAAGCATCTTCTGAGGCAGGTAATACAGAATATAGCTGGTGGTAATCCATATGTAAATAGAAGCATTCTTATATTTCATAAATGTGTTGAATAGTAAGACTGGCAAGGGCAGTAGTGATAATCCAGTTGTTACCTACTGTGTAACACAGGCCATTGAATTTTTTTTCCATTACTTCTGTTATAGAGACAGTGTTTGTGGTTGGGGTTCTTGTTTAGAGAGATCTCCTTAGCAACAATATTGTATCTGTTCTCAGTGTTTTTCCCCTAAAAATGGGAAATTTTGCCATCCGTTTTATGGGCGGAAGAATTCATTGCTATTGTAAGTTAGGTTTCATATAAACAGCAATCACTTCATACTTCGTAAGCTGTTCCAGTAGTTAATTACCCTCCTTTAAAAACAAAGACAGCACAAACAAAACTCACAAAAGCGCATTCCTTTTCCTGCTTAAATTAGTCTTGCTTCCAATGTAAGCCTCTAGAATATTTTCTCATATGTGGTGCTGTAAAATCAATTATATTCCTTTTATACTGCATGAAGTTTACAGTAGCGTATAAATTTATGATTATATTTAATTTTACAGGAAGCTAAATTACACTATTAGTACAGTCAAATGCATTAATGGTGCCTTCAACTGTTATTAGCTACAACATTAACATTTTTATGTATCTTCAGGTCACATTTCCATACCTGAAAAAAAAAAAAAAAAAAAAACACAAAACCAAACTAAATTAAAGAGAAGCTTCTGAACTTTATAGTTCATGAATTTTGGTGAATTCAGGACAAAATATATTTAGTTTTGGCAGTCCAAAAAACTACTTGAACAGTTGATGCTCTGAGGTAGAACCACATAGTATTTGGAACTGAATCACAAAGTAGAAACTGTGTATCATGGCTCTGAACAAAGGGATTTGCATAGTATAAATGATAGTGATTAAAGCTACAAGTCAGTCTGACTTGTTACATGAAACTTAAATTGCGTGTAGAAAAATACATGCAAATCTCTGTAAAGTCAAACTAATTTTCCAAAATATACAGTTAGACTATATGAAGTAGTAGTAAGTATCTCTTTTAATAACCATGCTCTCTCCTATGTAAATTGTAGTATGCTAATATAGACATTTGTTTTTGACAATTTTAAATTTCATGGAAATTCAAGAAACTACTGACATGAAAATGCTCTGAAGAAATCTAAGACTTACAAAAAAAGAAAAATGAGGACAAATTTTCTTATGAAAAACAAAATTCTGTGTAACTCCCAAGATAATTAGTGCCATTTCACACATTCCTTTGAATGACATGTTGTCTCGTCCAAATACAACTTTCTTTTCAACTTTATTTCTCTGTCTGATAGGTTCAGGATGACTTTTTGATAATATAATGGCAATCAGACTAGGATATTAAATATATTGAAATACAGCTGAACTAAACCAAATGCAGCTAACAATTTTTTTATAAAATCTTTGAAAAACAGGTAACACTTTTAACCTAAGAGGTATGTCTAAATTGTGTACTGCAGTATAATGCAGAGATACCTTATCCATTTTTCAGTGAGTTAATTTATGGGCACCATAATTAGGTTTGGTGCAGTAGCACTGAATTGGACTTTAGCTACTTTAACATACTTAAGAATGTGCAGTATTCCAGGGTGAACTCAATGGAATTAATTCATAGTACTCTATAAACAATATAGAATAGAACAGAATATTCAGTTGGAAGGGACCTACAATGATCATTTAGTCCAACTGCCTGACCAACGCAGGACTGACCAAGATAAAGCATGCTGTTAAGGGCATTCTCCAAATGCCTCTTAAACACTGACAGGCTTGGGGCATCAGCCACCTCTCTAGAAAGGCTATTCCAGTGCTTGACCAGCCACTCGTAAAGAAATGCTTCATCCTGTCCAGT